CAGATAACAATCTAAACAATTATCTAAACGAGTTAGAGGGTAAGTTTATAAATGCTAATATAACCGACGATATAATACTTACAGAACTATCACAGCGTAAAGATCGATTTATCAATTTAATTGAGAAACTTGATGAGGTACAATTGCAAAATAGAAGAAATTACCACAAATTTTTGATGTAGAACTAGATGAACGCACAGCATTTGAATCAGATTTCAATAAAACATTAGCACGAGCAAGGTATTTCTTGCAGAAAAGTAAACGACTAATATTGAACAAGACAATGATAATCTTTCTTCTCAAGGATCAGTAACGGGTTCTGATAATGTGGCCTTATGTCAAAAATTTAAATAACCTCAAACTCCCAGCCATTGAAATTCCTACTTACGATGGTGATTACGATATTTGGCTTGAATTTAGAGACACGTACGAGTCACTAATTCATACAAATGTTAATTTATCTGATATACAGAAATTCCATTACCTTAGAGCATTTTTGGGTCCGCGTGTAAGAGAGATTATTGCTAGTTTCGCATTTTCTGCTTTAAATTATAAACCTGCTTGGGAATTAATTTGTAATCGTTTTAATAATAGTCGTATCTTAAAGCAAAATCATGTTAAAGCCTTGTTTTTAATCTCAATCAAATTCATGAAGAATCACCTCAAGCTTTAAGAAAACTTATTGACAATGTATCTAAGCATTTAAGAGCCCTCACCATTTTAGACGAACCTACAAACACATGGGATACATTGGTAATATATTTAATTTCTATAAAACTAGATAATGAGACATTAAAGCATTGGGAGGAAGCAAAATCTGGTTATGTAAATCCAACTTTAGACAATTTAACCACATTCTTGAAGCATCGAGCAGACATGTTGGAAACATTGGAACAAAGTAAGAATTCTAAACGAGTCATTCCAAGGTCAAAGGGTGACAATAAAACAAAAGCCTTTGTTGCATCAAAACCGTACTGTGTATATTGCAAAAAGGACCATTACATTCAAAATTGTGAGGCATTTGTAAGGTTATCAGTCGAATGAAAGACGAACACAAGCAATGAAGAATCACTTGTGTCTTAACTGTTTAAGGTTGGGTCATACAAGTAAAATGTGCTATGCAAGTTCCTGTAAAACCTGTAATGCTCGACATAATACCTTATTACATGAAGAACGAGTATCCAGTTCAGAAAACGAACAGACAGTTAATTTATCATCACATATTAATTTTAATGGAGATCAGGTACTTCTTTCAACAGCATTACTAAAGATTTTTGATAAAAATGGGAAATGTCATGTAGCACGGGCACTTTTAGACTCAGGTTCTCAAAGTAGTTTTATAACCGAAGACTTTTGTAATAAGTTACAGTTTGATGTAATACCAACCAAGATAACAGTAAATGGTTTGAGTGAAGCTCAATCTAATGTGTCAGGAAAGATTTCTATACAAGTACATTCTAAGGTAAACAACTTTTCATTTAAAAATTCTTTTCTAGTTATAAGAAACATTACAGAAACCTTGCCTAATTTTAAAATTAATATCAAAATTTGAACATTCCAGACAATATTAAATTGGCAGATCCTCATTTTTATAAGCCAGAGAGAGTTGATGTGCTTTTAGGAGCTGACTGTTTCTGGAACCTTATGTGTGTTGGACAAATCAAGTTAAATAATGGATTATTATTACAAAAAGGGTAAATTAGGTTGGGTTATTGCAGGACGTTATGCAGTCAAATCCTTGTACCACGACAATACGTAATTTTTCTAAAGCTAATGACATTGACAAGCAGCTCACTCGTTTCTGCGAATTAGAAGAGTTTCGACACTCCAAACCACTGTCAAACGAAGAAAAATTGTGTGAAGAAGAATTTGTAAGGACTTTCAGACGTGACAGTGAAGGACGCTTTGTAGTAACTATTCCTCTAAAACAAGGTCCTGAAGTCCTAGGCGATAAATACGATATAGCAAAACCAAGGTTTTTATCTCTAGAACGAAGATTTAAACGAGATCCTGAATTCAAGAAACGTTATATCAATTTTATTAACGAGTATAAAAAATATGAACATATGTCCAAGATAGAACATCCAGATAATGCAACTTTAGTTATTACATGCCCCATCATGGCGTTATAAAAGAATCAAAGTTTGACTACCAAGTTACGGGTAGTATTTGATGCTTCATGTCCAAGTAGTAGTGGATATTCTTTTAACGATTTGCAACTTGTTGGACCTACAATCCAGTCAGATTTATTCTCACTCCTGCTGCAGTATCGAACGTACAACTATGTAATTAGTGCTGATATAGAGAAAATGTATAGGATGTGTCGAGTAGACCCACAACAGAAACCATTACAAAGAATTTTGTGGCGTGAAACACCTGATGAGCCACTCGAAATTTATGAATTAGACATTAGTAACCTATGGCACATCTGCAGCGCCATATTTAGCCATTAGATGTTTATATCAGTTAGGGTGGAAATAGAAAAACTAATCCCACAATAGCAAATGTAATACAAAACCACTTTTATGTTGACGATTTGTTGAGTGGTGCTGATACAATTGAAGAGGCTATTAACATAGTAACAGAGATATCAAAGGTCCTTAATACAGCAGGTTTTCGTCTTCGTAAATGGATATCTAATAATAATACAATACTTCAATCACTGAAAGAAAGAAATGAAGCAGATACACTTGATCTAGTTGTAAACGAACTAACCAAAACAAAGCAAAAGGCATTATACTTATCGCTTTATATCCTAACGCTACCCATCTAATACAACCAATGGATGTAGCAGTATTCAAAAACTTTGAAAGCTGTGTCAAGGATTACGGATCTGTGGCGGAATACATGTCTCTGTGGTGGAGAGTTATTTTATTGTTGGCAACTTCACATGCGACCACAGACCACAGATAATAGTTTTGATATTTAGTGACATGTAACATTATTGTATCTATTAACTTTTGTACTCTTTGTATCATAAAAATTTGTAACACGTTTAATTTAACACAAACCGAATATTTTATTTTGGAAGACATAAATTACCCAGAAATAGTTCACTCAACGTTAAAATAAACCGAACATTGGTCCTTCGAGCCGGATGGTCTCAAGAAGCAAGGAAATTGGTCAGAAAAGCCGACAAGAAGCAAGTGAGTCCCTTTTTTGTCCTTTTTAACCTTCATTACCGTAGTGAGATCATAATCATTTTGAACTGTAGCTTTGTGGAATTTATTGTCTTTATAGCGAATTAGGTTTAAACCAGTTTTTTAAACAAATACGATTAAAAACAAACAGCTTATTATCGATATGACAGAAATTGAGAGATTAGTACGGAGACGAGCAGCCTTTAAGGCTCAGATAACAACTAAAACAATTATCTAAACGAGTTAGAGGGTAAGTTTATAAATGCTAATATAACCGACGATATAATACTTACAGAACTATCACAGCGTAAAGATCGATTTATCAATTTAATTGAGAAACTTGATGAGGTACAATTGCAAATAGAAGAAATTACCACAAATTTTGATGTAGAACTAGATGAACGCACAGCCTTTGAATCAGATTTCAATAAAACATTAGCACGAGCAAGGTATTTCTTGCAGAAAAGTAAAACGACTAATATTGAACAAGACAATGATAATCTTTCTTCTCAAGGATCAGTAACGGGTTCTGATAATGTGGCCTTATGTCAAAAATTTAAATAACCTCAAACTCCCAGCCATTGAAATTCCCTACTTACGATGGTGATTACGATACTTGGCTTGAATTTAGAGACACGTACGAGTCACTAATTCATACAAATGTTAATTTATCTGATATACAGAAATTCCATTACCTTAGAGCATTTTTGGGTCCGCGTGTAAGAGAGATTATTGCTAGTTTCGCATTTTCTGCTTTAAATTATAAACCTGCTTGGGAATTAATTTGTAATCGTTTTAATAATGGTCGTATCTTAAAGCAAAATCATGTTAAAGCCTTGTTTTTAATCTCAATCAAATTCATGAAGAATCATCTCAAGCTTTAAGAAAACTTATTGACAATGTATCTAAGCATTTAAGAGCCCTCACCATTTTAGACGAACCTACAAACACATGGGATACATTGGTAATATATTTAATTTCTATAAAACTAGATAATGAGACATTAAAGCATTGGGAGGAAGCAAAATCTGGTTATGTAAATCCAACTTTGACAATTTAACCACATTCTTGAAGCATCGAGCAGACATGTTGGAAACATTGGAACAAAGTAAGAATTCTAAACGAGTCATTCCAAGGTCAAAGGGTGACAATAAAACAAAAGCCTTTGTTGCATCAAAACCGTACTGTGTATATTGCAAAAAAAGGACCATTACATTCAAAATTGTGAGGCATTTGTAAGGTTATCAATCGAACAAAAGACGAACACAAGCAATGAAGAATCACTTGTGTCTTAACTGTTTAAGGTTGGGTCATACAAGTAAAATGTGCTATGCAAGTTCCTGTAAAACCTGTAATGCTCGACATAATACCTTATTACATGAAGAACGAGTATCCAGTTCAGAAAACGAACAGACAGTTAATTTATCATCACATATTAATTTTAATGGAGATCAGGTACTTCTTTCAACAGCATTACTAAAGATTTTTGATAAAAATGGGAAATGTCATGTAGCACGGGCACTTTTAGACTCAGGTTCTCAAAGTAGTTTTATAACCGAAGACTTTTGTAATAAGTTACAGTTTGATGTAATACCAACCAAGATAACAGTAAATGGTTTGAGTGAAGCTCAATCTAATGTGTCAGGAAAGATTTCTATACAAGTACATTCTAAGGTAAACAACTTTTCATTTAAAAATTCTTTTCTAGTTATAAGAAACATTACAGAAACCTTGCCTAATTTTAAAATTAATATCAAAAAGAAATTTGAACATTCCAGACAATATTAAATTGGCAGATCCTCATTTTTATAAGCCAGAGAGAGTTGATGTGCTTTTAGGAGCTGACTGTTTCTGAACCTTATGTGTGTTGGACAAATCAAGTTAAATAATGGATTATTATTACAAAAGGGTAAATTAGGTTGGGTTATTGCAGGACGTATGCAGTCAAATCCTTGTACCACGACAATACGTAATTTTTCTAAAGCTAATGACATTGACAAGCAGCTCACTCGTTTCTGCGAATTAGAAGAGTTTCGACACTCCAAACCACTGTCAAACGAAGAAAAATTGTGTGAAGAAGAATTTGTAAGGACTTTCAAACGTGACAGTGAAGGACGCTTTGTAGTAACTATTCCTCTAAAACAAGGTCCTGAAGTCCTAGGCGATAAATACGATATAGCAAAACCAAGGTTTTTATCTCTAGAACGAAGATTTAAACGAGATCCTGAATTCAAGAAACGTTATATCAATTTTATTAACGAGTATAAAAATATGAAACATATGTCCAAGATAGAACATCCAGATAATGCAACTTTTAGTTATTACATGCCCCATCATGGCGTTATAAAAGAATCAAGTTTGACTACCAAGTTACGGGTAGTATTTGATGCTTCATGTCCAAGTAGTAGTGGATATTCTTTTAACGATTTGCAACTTGTTGGACCTACAATCCAGTCAGATTTATTCTCACTCCTGCTGTAGTATCGAACGTACAACTATGTAATTAGTGCTGATATAGAGAAAATGTATAGGATGTGTCGAGTAGACCCACAACAGAAACCATTACAAAGAATTTTGTGGCGTGAAACACCTGATGAGCCACTCGAAATTTATGAATTAGACACAGTAACCTATGGCACATCTGCAGCGCCATATTTAGCCATTAGATGTTTATATCAGTTAGGTGGAAATAGAAAAAACTAATCCCACAATAGCAAATGTAATACAAAACCCACTTTTATGTTGACGATTTGTTGAGTGGTGCTGATACAATTGAAGAGGCTATTAACATAGTAACAGAGATATCAAAGGTCCTTAATACAGCAGGTTTTCGTCTTCGTAAATGGATATCTAATAATAATACAATACTTCAATCACTGAAAGAAAGAAATGAAGCAGATACACTTGATCTAGTTGTAAACGAACTAACCAAACAAAGCAAAAGGCATTATACTTATCGCTTTATATCCTAACGCTACCCATCTAATACAACCAATGGATGTAGCAGTATTCAAAAAAACTTTGAAAGCTGTGTCAAGGATTACGGATCTGTGGCGGAATACATGTCTCTGTGGTGGAGAGTTATTTTATTGTTGGCAACTTCACATGCGACCACAGACCACAGATAATAGTTTTGATATTTAGTGACATGTAACATTATTGTATCTATTAACTTTGTACTCTTTGTATCATAAAATTTGTAACACGTTTAATTTAACACAAAACCGAATATTTTATTTTGGAAGACATAAATTACCCAGAAATAGTTCACTCAACGTTAAAATAAACCTGAACATTGGTCCTTCGAGCCGGATGGTCTCAAGAAGCAAGGAAATTGGTCAGAAAAGCCGACAAGAAGCAAGTGAGTCCCTTTTGTCCTTTTAACCTTCATTACCGTAGTGAGATCATAATCATTTTTGAACTGTAGCTTTGTGGAATTTATTGTCTTTATAGCGAATTAGGGTTTTAAACCAGTTTTAAACAAATACGATTAAAAACAAACAGCTTATTATCGATATGACAGAAATTGAGAGATTAGTACGGAGACGAGCAGCCTTTAAGGCTCAGATAACAATCCTAAACAATTATCTAAACGAGTTAGAGGGTAAGTTTATAAATGCTAATATAACCGACGATATAATACTTACAGAACTATCACAGCGTAAAGATCGATTTATCAATTTAATTGAGAAACTTGATGAGGCACAATTGCAAATAGAAGAAATTACCAAATTTTGATGTAGAACTAGATGAACGCACAGCATTTGAATCAGATTTCAATAAAACATTAGCACGAGCAAGGTATTTCTTGCAGAAAAGTAAAACGACTAATATTGAACAAGACAATGATAATCTTTTCTTCTCAAGGATCAGTAACGGGTTCTGATAATGTGGCCTTATGTCAAAATTTAAATAACCTCAAACTCCCAGCCATTGAAATTCCTACTTACGATGGTGATTACGATACTTGGCTTGAATTTAGAGACACGTACGAGTCACTAATTCATACAAATGTTAATTTATCTGATATACAGAAATTCCATTACCTTAGGAGCATTTTTAAACCGTGTAAGAGAGATTATTGCTAGTTTCGCATTTTCTGCTTTAAATTATAAACCTGCTTGGGAATTAATTTGTAATCGTTTTAATAATAGTCGTATCTTAAAGCAAAATCATGTTAAAGCCTTGTTTTTAATCTCAATCAAATTCATGAAGAATCATCTCAAGCTTTAAGAAAACTTATTGACAATGTATCTAAGCATTTAAGAGCCCTCACCATTTTAGACGAACCTACAAACACATGGGATACATTGGTAATATATTTAATTTCTATAAAACTAGATAATGAGACATTAAAGCATTGGGAGGAAGCAAAATCTGGTTATGTAAATCTAACTTTAGACAATTTAACCACATTCTTGAAGCATCGAGCAGACATGTTGGAAACATGGAACAAAGTAAGAATTCTAAACGAGTCATTCCAAGGTCAAAGGGTGACAATAAACAAAAGCCTTTGTTGCATCAAAACTCGTACTGTGTATATTGCAAAAAAGGACCATTACATTCAAAAATTGTGAGGCATTTGTAAGGTTATCAATCGAACAAAGACGAACACAAGCAATGAAGAATCACTTGTCTTAACTGTTTAAGGTTGGGTCATACAAGTAAAATGTGCTATGCAAGTTCCTGTAAAACCTGTAATGCTCGACATAATACCTTATTACATGAAGAACGAGTATCCAGTTCAGAAAACGAACAGACAGTTAATTTATCATCACATATTAATTTTAATGGAGATCAGGTACTTCTTTCAACAGCATTACTAAAGATTTTGATAAAAATGGGAAATGTCATGTAGCACGGGCACTTTTAGACTCAGGTTCTCAAAGTAGTTTTATAACCGAAGACTTTTGTAATAAGTTACAGTTTGATGTAATACCAACCAAGATAACAGTAAATGGTTTGAGTGAAGCTCAATCTAATGTGTCAGGAAAGATTTCTATACAAGTACATTCTAAGGTAAACAACTTTTCATTTAAAAATTCTTTTCTAGTTATAAGAAACATTACAGAAACCTTGCCTAATTTTAAAATTAATATCAAAATTTGAACATTCCAGACAATATTAAATTGGCAGATCCTCATTTTTATAAGCCAGAGAGAGTTGATGTGCTTTTAGGAGCTGACTGTTTCTGGAACCTTATGTGTGTTGGACAAATCAAGTTAGAAATAATGGATTATTATTACAAAAGGGTAAATTAGGTTGGGTTATGCAGGACGTATGCAGTCAAATCCTTGTACCACGACAATACGTAATTTTTCTAAAGCTAATGACATTGACAAGCAGCTCACTCGTTTCTGCGAATTAGAAGAGTTTCGACACTCCAAACCACTGTCAAACGAAGAAAAATTGTGTGAAGAAGAATTTGTAAGGACTTTCAGACGTGACAGTGAAGGACCGCTTTGTAGTAACTATTCCTCTAAAACAAGGTCCTGAAGTCCTAGGCGATAAATACGATATAGCAAAACCAAGGTTTTTATCTCTAGAACGAAGATTTAAACGAGATCCTGAATTCAAGAAACGTTATATCAATTTTATTAACGAGTATAAAATATGAAACATATGTCCAAGATAGAACATCCAGATAATGCAACTTTTAGTTATTACATGCCCCATCATGGCGTTATAAAAGAATCAAGTTTGACTACCAAGTTACGGGTAGTATTTGATGCTTCATGTCCAAGTAGTAGTGGATATTCTTTTAACGATTTGCAACTTGTTGGACCTACAATCAGTCAGATTTATTCTCACTCCTGCTGCAGTATCGAACGTACAACTATGTAATTAGTGCTGATATAGAGAAAATGTATAGGATGTGTCGAGTAGACCCACAACAGAAACCATTACAAAGAATTTTGTGGCGTGAAACACCTGATGAGCCACTCGAAATTTATGAATTAGACACAGCATCCTTATGGCACATCTGCAGCGCCATATTTAGCCATTAGATGTTTATATCAGTTAGGGGTGGAAATAGAAAAAAACTAATCCCACAATAGCAAATGTAATACAAAACCACTTTTATGTTGACGATTTGTTGAGTGGTGCTGATACAATTGAAGAGGCTATTAACATAGTAACAGAGATATCAAAGGTCCTTAATACAGCAGGTTTTCGTCTTCGTAAATGGATATCTAATAATAATACAATACTTCAATCACTGAAAGAAAGAAATGAAGCAGATACACTTGATCTAGTTGTAAACGAACTAACCAAAAACAAAGCAAAAGGCATTATACTTATCGCTTTATATCCTAACGCTACCCATCTAATACAACCAATGGATGTAGCAGTATTCAAAACTTTGGAAAGCTGTGTCAAGGATTACGGATCTGTGGCGGAATACATGTCTCTGTGGTGGAGAGTTATTTTTATTGTTGGCAACTTCATGCGACCACAGACCACAGATAATAGTTTTGATATTTAGTGACATGTAACATTATTGTATCTATTAACTTTGTACTCTTTGTATCATAAAAATTTGTAACACGTTTAATTTAACACAAAACCGAATATTTTATTTTTGGAAGACATAAATTACCCAGAAATAGTTCACTCAACGTTAAAATAAACCGAACATTGGTCCTTCGAGCCGGATGGTCTCAAGAAGCAAGGAAATTGGTCAGAAAGCCGACAAGAAGCAAGTGAGTCCCTTTTTCCTTTTTTTTAACCTTCATTACCGTAGTGAGATCATAATCATTTTGAACTGTAGCTTTGTGGAATTTATTGTCTTTATAGCGAATTAGGTTTAAACCAGTTTTTAAACAAATACGATTAAAAACAAACAGCTTATTATCGATATGACAGAAATTGAGAGATTAGTACGGAGACGAGCAGCCTTTAAGGCTCAGATAACAATCCTAAACAATTATCTAAACGAGTTAGAGGGTAAGTTTATAAATGCTAATATAACCGACGATATAATACTTACAGAACTATCACAGCGTAAAGATCGATTTATCAATTTAATTGAGAAACTTGATGAGGTACAATTGCAAATAGAAGAAATTACCACAAATTTTGATGTAGAACTAGATGAACGCACAGCATTTGAATCAGATTTCAATAAAACATTAGCACGAGCAAGGTATTTCTTGCAGAAAAGTAAAACGACTAATATTGAACAAGACAATGATAATCTTTCTTCTCAAGGATCAGTAACGGTTCTGATAATGTGGCCTTATGTCAAAATTTAAATAACCTCAAACTCCCAGCCATTGAAATTCCTACTTACGATGGTGATTACGATACTTGGCTTGAATTTAGAGACACGTACGAGTCACTAATTCATACAAATGTTAATTTATCTGATATACAGAAATTCCATTACCTTAGAGCATTTTTTGGGTCCGCGTGTAAGAGATTATTGCTAGTTTCGCATTTTCTGCTTAAATTATAAACCTGCTTGGGAATTAATTTGT